CCTTTGTTTTGACAGCTGGTTTTTCTGCTTATGCTTGCTCTAAAAGGCAGAGATGTGGAAAAGCTCTCTGCTCCATCTTAATTGACATTTCTATGAGAAAGACAACTTATTCTTTAACTGAAATTAGCCATTTACATTTACCCCGGGTCTAGTCCTTCATCCAAGGCAGTAACCTGCTTTTACGGAGAGGAACCGCCCCGTTTCCTATAGCGTTTTTGTGCCCTCAGATTTAAAGACAACAGCAAAAGTTTTCTCTTTGGAGGAATTTCATTTTGAATTGTTATGAGCTACCCTCAGAGGGGGGATTATATAAGGGGTCTAAATTCAAGCACCCTATTTGTGATTTCTTGGAAAGGAAACAGAGGCCGGGAAGAAAGATGTAACAATGGTTGATGCAAACTGCTGACTTCAGCGTTTGTCCCGGTTCTTTCACACACCTGATCCTCAAGGCCGTGGCCCCTGATTCCCACTGGAATTGATCGTTGGGTGGATAATGATGTTTTGCATGGAAGGTTTCAAAGACTGGAACTTATGAAGAAAAAGATTTGATAAATAAGAATGTGAGCCCCAGCTTGCTGCCCGTAGCACAGTGGTTACAGAGCTGGCCACATACACCACGACTGGTGGGTTTGAACCCGGTCTGGGCCAGATGAACAACAATGACAACTCCCACAAAAAATATCCAGGTGTTGTGCCAGGTACCTGTAGTCCCAGCTACTTGGGAGGCTGAGGCAAGACAATCGCTTAAGCCCAAGAGTTGGAGGTTGCTGTGGGGTGTGACGGCACTGTACTCTACTGATGGTGACATAGTGGCACTCTGTTTCAAAAAAAAAGAATGTGAGCTCCTTGAGAACAGAGCCTTGCTTCCCTCTGCTATCTCTCTGGGCTAAGAATAATGACTGTCACATAATGGATGGATACTTAGTAAGTACTTGTTGAATAACTGGAAGGGGAATTATTGTGCCTATGCTGAACTATGCTATTCTCAAATACTTTCAAAACTATTTAACAATAACTGCCACTTATAACTTATTTTGAGGTTAAGATATGATTTCTTCATTAAAAGCTATTAGTACATTTAATTTTGGGGGAAGAAGAAACCAACATATTAAAAAATACATTAGATAACACATTCAATGTATAATCCATATAGGTCAAGGTTACTATTTCTTCAGTGAGGGACAGGAACTAAACACATGTTGTTGTAAAGGAGGCCACACTGAGAGGACTCGAAGGGACCCTGCCCTCAAGAGGCTTGCGCTGAA